ACAAACTTAGTGTTTAGTAAGGGCTGTTTGAGTATTCTCTAAGTCATACACACAGGTCTTACCTTTAGAGTCCTCATTGGGATAAGCAGGCATCACTGTAAGTCCGACCACAAGAACAAGGATCAGGAGCACAATATGAGCTTTCATTTTCTACAGGAGAAATGAGGTTTAGTGTAGTCCTTTGGCTTCAATTCCACATTAAGGGCAGAAAAACAGATTTTTAATAATAGCTCATCTTACCTTTTTATTCACGAGCAGTAGCCTCTCAATGGGTCTTTAAAGTTCTAACTGCTGTTTACAGTGTCTCAGACTGACTTATAAACCAGTCCAGCAGGACTTAAGCTAGGTGTGCACATGTCAGAAGCATCTTAAAAATCTACCCAGGTCAGTTTTGGGAAATAAAGTGTTCTAAAAATAAATCACATGTTCCCTGTATTCAAAAGCACAGAGCTTGGCGAACTGAACTAAACTGCTCACACTGATATGAGGTATTTGACTGGGTTAGCAATAAAGAGCACTCAAAGCAAACATACTGACGCTAAACAAAAACAATGATTGTGAAATAAAAGACTTGAAACTAAGCTTCAATTTAAATTTGCACGTATAAGCAAGGCAAATAGGAGTTGAAACTATTCATCTACAGTCACTCTGTTTTAATGTTACAAAAAGTCAAACCCTTTTTAAAGTAATCACGAAAACCTGTGTTTTTGTTACAATGAGATCCACCCAAAAAGGCTCCGTATAAACGACTCCTTCTGTAATTCCTAGTATTCTATGTTGCAACTTGTAAACAGTAGATGAACAGATATATCATGACTGCATATTTTTCAGCAGTGTAACTATGTAGTTCTAAAAAAAAAAAAGAAATAGAAAAAGTGTGCCATTTGCATGTTGTTTTTCATTTCCCCAGATGACTGCAATTTAGAAACAGAGTAACTTCATATTTATCAAAGATTTTGTTTTGTCAAAGAGCTTGTTTTTCTTAGAGTAAAATGAGACTCCCCTCCTCCGCAGTTCTGTAAAAAAGTCAATACAAACTCAGAAAATCTCCCTGTGACTCTTCAGCTAACCTCTCCAAATATCTTATTGTCAATACTATTATTATCACTTTTGTAACTGCTATTTTTTTTGCAGAATAACATACCAGACAAAAACAAAATGTAGAAGAGAATAGTATGAAGTTAGAAGATGTCAAGGTGTGTGGAGTGTAAGGCTGAGGATTCAAATCCAGAACACAAGAGGTCGATTTCAGCAAAAAGTGAGCCTTTAATATGGTTTATAAGAGAAAGTCTAAAATAGCAGAGAAAAGTCCAGAAAGTAAAGAAACAATAATCCAATAACCACAATGAGTGAGGCTAACAGTATGCTGAGCACAGGGAACAAACACGGGAAATGGAGTAGATGCTGTGAAAAAGTATAAAGTCTGATTAGGGAATGTTCAACAGCAGAGTAAGGACTGGCAAGGACAATCAGGCAGATGAGAGCAACACTACACAGGGCATGAGAGAAACAAATCTTCACTGTAAAATAGGAAATAATACAATGGATACTAACACTTAACATGTATGAAAGAACATGAAGACTAACACTTAACACAAAAAGATGTGACAGAGAGAGGAGCAGATAGGGAAATGCTCAGAGAACTTAAACATCTACCAAAAACACAGAAAATAATAACACAAAATCCACAGAATCACAACAGCCACACCGAGGAAAATGTCAGGTTAAAATAACCCATAATTAGCCAACTTTTAAAAATCTGTTTAGAAAAAAATGGATAAATCTGATCACAAGTTTGAATTTGCAAATGTCACACTGATGCAATATTTCAACATTGTAGAGCCTCTAATGTGGGCCTTGCTAGTGTTTGCTCAAAAAACAATTTATTTAGATTATGATTGGTTACACATGTAAACCATCAAAATTGTATTTACTTACAGAGAATGCACCTGCAAAGTAATGCAATCCTAGCTGAACAATTAAGTTAAAGACTGAGACACTTTAACTAAGAAAGAATTCACACAGTTCCTATTAACTGCATTAAATCAGACAAATTTCATGATCTTTCCATTTTACCTTTTGTTTAATCTTATAAAGGTGTGACACATTCCTCCTCTGATACAGAACGTTCTGTAGTTCAGTGTTTCCCAACCGTTCCACCTGATTAGTACTCTAAGCGATCGGCATGAGTAACGGGCAGAATAATTACCTTCTCTTCCTGCTCTAATTAAATGGGTTGCCAACTGCCAGTGAAACAAAGACAAAGAAGCAATTACGTAATAGTCATGCTGTGAGACGCGTAATAGCAATAGATAAATATTTGAAAAGAAAAGTAGTCAATCTGACCTGGGTCCTGGAGAAAATTCTGACCCAGATGAAGGCCCTAGCATGATCAGAAGAAAGCAAAAAAGGTATACTGGGGACAAACCAAGCCAATTCCGCTATACCTAATGCGCGAGGAAAAAATATCAGTGCTTTTTGTGACATTTTTGTTTGGTGGTGTGCTGTTTTCTAATGTAAAATAAGTGCCGTGGCTCCAAAAGGTCGGGAAACACTGCTGTAGTTAGATAAATGTTCTCACCATTCTGTGTAGGCTATTTTGTTCTGCAGCGCCCCCTAGTGGATAAATGTAAAACTGGTTTATCATAAAGTCTGATTTTTAAATATTTTTCCGAGACCCAGCATATTCATTTATGGACATTTGTCATTTTGGTCTTTATAACTTTTGACTTATTTGAGCTACCCTACTAAGTCCTGATGTGCCTAATTGGGGATATCCTGGTCTTTCTGATGATATCTCATGTGTTTGGGTGGTCTCTTTCAGTTCCGAAATCACAAAAAAGTTCAACAAGAAGATACTTTTTTCCTCGGTTCTCAGGAGGTTATGGTCAAAATACATAATTGGTTTAGGCTAAATGTGCCTGTCTGAATCTTTGCTAGCCTGGGTGATTCTATCACGTTTGTTATGTGGCTTATACATCTTCTCATAAAACCCATCATTTTTATTTCATATTATTTTTACAAATGATTTTACTCTATACTTTTTCTATAGTATATAGAAGTCAGAAAAATGAAAGAGAGGAAAATAAGTAAACATGAATAGTGGAGAAACTTTGAAATGGCAGACAAAAACGTTTTATTACAACATATGGTAATCCATCAGAGAAAATTACTCTTGACTGAATGCTTAAAATCTTAAAAGCAGTACTGAGATTCTAACATAATGAAGTAAATGTTGTGAGTGGCTCGTTTCCAGGTGCTAATTTGAGCCAAAAGACAACCAGTGATTAACTAGAACCCTTAAGAACAGCTTGAAACAGTCAAGAAAATGGTATCCTTTAGTAAAATCTGTCATCACAAGGCATTTAACAGGGATTCAGTTATAATAGCATGCTTTTACCTACATCACAAAATCAGTACATCACCAGAGATTTAGCTCAAAGCAGCAGATTGGTTGCCTTGAGATAATTATGGCTACAATGTTCAAGCTAACAGTCTGGGGGCTAATAGGCACATCTTTAACTAAAACACTATGTCACACGTAAAGATAATTTTTTAAAAAAGGGTCAATTTCTCAAATTAAACTAACATTGAAAAAAAAATGTTATTAAAGCTCTGCCTTTAGTGGCTTCCTGCATCAATAACTGGTGAATGATGATGTTGTCTACAGGTCTTAGTGTCTCCAGGATAGCCCCAATTTTAACTCTAAACACTTCATTCAAACATTTTGTGTATTTGTGACACATATAGTAAATTATATAACATATGTACACAGACACCTGAGGTGATAGATCAGGTTGCCTGGTGACCATAATGCAGGTATATTCATATTTTGTGCACCAACAGTGGCTGTCTGGGTTTTGTTCCGTTTTGGTTAAGGTTAGAAAAGTTTGTGATTTGTTCTGCTTTTATCCAACTGGGCTGTTCAGAGATAACACCCACATTGTAAAAATCCCCCTCTGAACATGTCTATGTCATGGTAATTGTAGCATGTTTGTTGTACTTTAAAGAATTTCCCAACTTATTATGTTTCAAACTCAAACACAAAGAAAATAATGAACAATTTAGATTTCTTTGGAAACTAATTGCCCTGATGTTTCCCCACATCTCATTAACAGAATGGAGTGTGTAATGATTGCATGGTCCATTTGACAGAATGGCTGCAGACATATATTAAAATAACAACATTATCTCTCTGTTATTAACTTATTTACCGTTTTAATGCTGACTAATTATTAATTGGCAAAATTGTTCACTACAGATGCTTCCGACTGGCTTTACTTCCCCTTTGCTCAACTCAATTTATGCACAGCTGATGCATTTTAGCTCATATCTATTGCTTTGTTTCTGATTAGGAAATGATGCATAAATGGTGAAACATCGAAAACATTTGTATCTGGATTTACTTTGTTTACACTTTAAGCAGTTTGCTCAGCAACAGTCAGCTCTGATGCATATTAGTGTAAATGACCACCAATACACAGCATTACCAGATCACCCAAACCACCTGCTAATGGGATGCATTTGACCACATATCTGCTGTTGTATAAACTAATTTCCCCTGATGCATCTACAGCAAAATAACAAGGAAATACTGTATCAAGGACACAATGATAATTTTCTTTTGTCTTGTCTTGAATCATTTTGCAATTCTAACACTTGGAACAGGCCATACATGTTTATCACCTTAAACATTTTTAAATAATGCCTGTAAAAGAAGTCTGGTGCCTGTCCGGCAGAATGATGTAATAACCTTTCAAGGGGACCCTTTGATTTACAAGTACCAGCAGAAACTTTGCAGCTGACAGTTACATGTTTAAATGTTGAGATACTGTAGCGGAAACATATTTTAGAATCAAATGCAAAAGGCTTTGCATATTACAAAAAATCTTACTGGGTCACTCTGTCTCAAATCATCGTTGTCCTTCAGCTCAGCCATCTTTGATTTTCCTAAAAATATTCATGGTTTGCATATATGTCATGATTGCTATGACATTTTGCTTTCATGCTATGACATTTTGCCCCCCAAAACCATCTCACGTTGTCAAAGACCACTATTGACAAAGTAATTTAAATGTTCAATGTTGTTGTTTTTAAAATCTACAAAGGTATTTAATATCTTAAGGTAAAATTTCACAACAATTATCATACAGAATATATCCAAACTTTGAACATTTCGTGGAAAACAAAGGTGGCTGAAAAGAGAAGTTACTAGAAATTTAATGAGTTAAGATGGAATGACCCAAAAAGTTTCCACATCAGTTTATTTTGGTCATTAGTAATTAGTTTATTGGCTAGCCAAGCCATGTGTTGCTCACCTGTGTGCAATACAGAAAACATTTGTAACGGTTTAAGCCAAGTGAATTATTTTATGAGAGTAGAACAAGAACAACAACGCAGAAGCATCCCTTATGAGTGAATAATGTAATAAAGTCTACAGTTTACTGTGTTTCTTCTCCGTTGCATCAACCCAACCTCGACAAGAGGAGAGCTCCAAGCTACATTTTGCTGCTGGGATCCAGTTACAGCATTGACATTAAAACCAGAGCCCTTGATTGGAAGAATTATGACAACTTATACAGCTGGACAAGTTGAACTCCTCTCTGGTGATGACAGATTCAAATGACATGCTAGCAATGTTTTCTATAGCATCATCATGGTGCTAAAAGGTAATACAAATATACCTGGAAAAATGGCATGTTGATAATTCCTTGTCCAGGTAGTTCCCCTGTTATACACAGCCATTTCATCACAAACTCCTTCTAATCAAACTACCACAACCAACAAACTAACACTGGAGGTTGCCATAAACCACGCTACTGTCTGCACACACTATAGAGATTGTAAATCAGCAGTGGTGTGCTGGTAGTTGACATGTTCTATATAACATCAGAGCTAAGTACAGTTTTTTCCCAAAACATTTCTAAATACGAAGATATGTGACATCACAGCAAAATAAACTCAGGGATGGTACTGAGTGTGCTTGTGTATACCTTAAACTAGACTACTAAAACCCACATCTATACTGTTCATACTCTTTCTTGTAAAGACAAACTCAATTTCCTGTTGTCTATGACATGATGGATAAATGTAAATGCATTTGTTTAGAAGCGATTCAGACTAAACTCCACACAAGACACACAACTCTTGTATCAGTCCTACTTCAAGGAGACGATAACAGTCAACACATGGCAAAACTAAACTAAACAACATAGAGGAGAGCCATTGAGAGAAGTTGCCATTCCAGGAACTTTGCAGTATAATGCAGTTCTTGAGTTTTATTTTGTCCATAGTCAAACAACAGTAAAATGGTTGAAAGCTGGAGTTTTGACTGCACTGCAGTCAAGCTTCAGCCTCTTCAGGTCTTTGCAACCGTGTGGAAGAAATGCACATCTTTTGGACCATCGTTTGGTGTCACAGCTGCTAATGAAAGCTATTTTCCACACATCCCAAGTGTTTGTTTAATTCACCAAGCCCACAGGTGAGAGAAACAAATTAACTGTCCTATGAGATCTGGTTCGCAGGGAGTTGCTGGGAGTTGCCATCATCCCCCCTCTCTGATTGGTGTTTATAAAGGTCACATGGCATGAGAGGGAGGGGCTGTCCCTGCTCTGGCAGCATTGACTCATAAGGTGGTGCTGCCTCCAGTGGGAAGGAGATGGATGCAAGATGTTGATGCTCCTGCTCTTGCAGTCCCAGTGGGTAGTGGGAGGGAGAAAACCAGGCAGCACTGGCTGAGGTCTCTCCGCAGTGTGGGGAAGGATCTGTAAGGGAGTAGCAAGGCCGTTCATCCTGCTCTGCTCCCCCCTGACAGGGGTCCACCAATGAGTAAGGAGGTGGGTCATCTGTAGGGATGTAGATCTGAGTCGAACCTGGACCGACACACTCATCATAGCTACAGGCAAAAGGACAAAAATGAAAAAGTTAGATAAATTACAGAACATTGATTTTATATCATAACATCAGTTACTAAGTTATGTTCTTCTTTGCCATTTGTGCATGTGGGTGTCTGGAGGTGGTTTTCTTTTCTCTTTATTATTTTTTTAGCTTACTCCAAGTGCAGGCACATAAAATGTATCCTTTCCAACACAGGAAAAATGATAGCAACTGCAAAATAACTCATACTTAAAGGGAGTAATCTGTTCAAACTCTTAATGGGCATTTTGTAAAGAAACATGTCTTTAGCAAATTTACAGTTGTGCTGACAAATGGTTCATGTCAGGTAGTGCGCTTGCTGAACTCTCCCAATGCTTATCTTTTTAATAAGCCGGCTTTTAATCTGCTATTTCATGATAGCTTGATGCCATTGCCTTATTTTCTATGTTCAAATACATCCATCGATAATAGAAATTCACAGGAGAATACCATAGGAGACAAGATGCACCCCTCCCACCATCAGACATGAGCTGTTGCACTGAGACATTCAGTTTCAAATATAAAGACAGTTTTAACTATGCACAATCAAGCAATATCTACAATGTGCTCTATATAAAACCATCTAAAACATACATTTGGAAGATAAATAGGCAAGACACAAAAAAATATAAACCTGCAGAATTCAGCTGTAGTCTAGAAAAGGTTTATGTATCTTTAATGCAAATTTTAAATACAGTTGTTCAGTGTTCTGGTAGGGAAAACCAAAGATGCACACTGTTGGCACTCAGGACTGAGCTGTTAATGAAGCCATAATATTGTTTTGCTTGACTAGTGACTCTATACATGCATAGCTGCAGTTATTAAGTCTTAATGAAAAGTGAGATTAAAGTTCCATGGCTTTTGTCAAAATATTCATTTAAGGTTTATAAGTGGGTTTAATCCATGTAAGGAAAACTGGAAATTCAACCTTAAAATTATGAAAGATTTCTGCAGGTTAGATGGATTATAACTGAATAAAAGACAAACAAAATACAAGCCAATGTAAAACGTTTCTTGTTTGATAGCAACTGCGTCATGTTGATGCTGGAAAGATGCAAAGCATGGGCACAATGACGTGACTGGTTCAGCTGCTGTTGTTCTGATCATTTCTCTGCCACTGCAAACCATGAGGAGCCCTAGAATTTTTATTTTATAAAATAGCCCTGTGGAAGTAATGGTAGATGAGAATGGGCCGTAGGAAGAGGTAAATCAGCGTAACTTAATCAGCACAGTGGTTAACAACATCAATACACAGCAGTGCCACACGTGTGTGTATGAGTTTCTTTCTTTCTTTTTCAATTTCATTTTAGTTCAATTCAATTTTATTTATACAATACCAAATCACAACAGCAGTTGCCTCAAGGCGCTTCATATTCTACAATAATACAAAGAAAACAGAGAAAACCCCAACAATCACATGACCTCCTATAAGTAAGCGCCTAAGCGATAGTTTCTTTCACGTTAAATTTGTGTCTTTCTGTGTATAGAAAAAGTGAGTGAGAGCTACTTCCGCCACGATGTGAAGATAACAGCTAATGTTCACTCCAGTTGAACATTAGCTGACGTCATTAGCCGTTTCCGGGTCAAAACTCTTCAGGTCTCAAAGTCAAACAAACACTGCGGCATCACTAAGAGTTAGAAAACTGTTTAAATAATGTAAATATGTAAGAAAAATTGTGTATGTTTCTGTTCTGTGTCCTGTGTACTGTTTGTTTGTATATGTATCTTTTTGGCTGCTGTTACAACCAAATTTCCCCTTGTGGGACAATTAAAGGATTATTCTATTCTATTCTATTCTATTCTAAATTCTTTCATCTTTAATGACATGATCAGTGTTGCTGCTTTACCAGGTGTAACAATTAAGTTTGACATCCAGGCATCCATGAAAACAGGATTTATTAAGTTTAACAGAGTTTGAAGTTAGCAGGGAGTTAGCTCGCTAGTTTCCATCTAAGGTTGATATACTATGTTCTGACTGAGAGATTTCTGAAAAATTAAAACGTACAGCTCTGCTATCTCTTCCGACATAAATGAAGATGGAAAACTAAACAGTGATGTTTGTAGGGTTACTGAAGTTGGGCTTGCTGGTATATAATGATGTGCTACATGGTGGCTAGCTACATGGCTATGGTTAGCATAATATAAACACATGAAGCTGGAAGATGAACACAATCACTTTTTTCCACTTGATAAAAGTTAACATGAGGAGAAATATAATACAAAAAACATAATATAGAAAAATAAAGTTTTCTGCGATGGCTTTAGCTATAATTATTTATTATTAAATATTGTTTATCATTTATCGTCTTTCTCTTCTCTTTCTCACACCCCCATATAACTCAGGGTTTCAATAAATATTTTCATGTGGATTATTTTCACTTGCCTCATGCTAAGAAATCTGACTGTAAACATCAGTGGCATGACAGCACGTTGAGGTGAAAATTGAAGACAGAGGGAAAGTGAGCGCTAGGCACGATGAGGTGTTGTAACACACTCTAAATCCCTGTGTCTCTTGTCTCTGAGGAGCTATATGCTGCTCTGTTCCCACTGTGTCTGTTTCTGCAAACACCTCACACTAGATAATGAATGAGGTGTTTTACACCTTTGTGTGTTCACTAGCATGTGTGTTAGCAGGGTGTGGCAGAATAAATAATAATTCACCCCCTCTGGGAGACTTGCTGGGAGCTGCACAACTGCTTTTCTGTTTGTTGTTTTATTTGTTTTTATCTGCCGCTTGTTTCTATTTAAAGTCCAGACATATCATGTAAATGAAATTCAATATCAAGGTATTAATTTATTAATAACTTAAGGATACTGTTGCTTGGTGGCAAACAAACACATTGATACAATCCTCATGCTACAGTTTGGGAAATCCATGTTTCAACGTTTTTCCTGCATAGGCTGGCTGCTTCTGTCAATTAAGGCTAGGTTTATCTACTAGTTATTTTGCTATTTTATGCAGCTGTATGGAGGTTTGCTTTACAACAAAGCAAACCCCCCAAACTTTCACATGCAACCAATAAGTGAAGCCTGTCAAAAGCATTGGATGAAGTAGTTTGCCATTGATACAAGTGTGAAGAATGTTGCTTTGTCATTTTTAACAGTCATGGTTTATTTAAACCCAGATATTTCCCAGACTTCTAACCTTGACCTAGAAGATTTTGTCTTAACATTTGTCACAGTAGAAAAAGAAGTCAAATGCACACGCATGTCAGCAGAAAGGGAGGACCTCTGGCATGTATTCATGCAATGGTTATGACGCTCTACAGAGCTGAACACCACACAGCTCTTGCTTACAGCATATGGTCTCTGTGTGTCAGTGCAAGTGTGTGTATTTGTGTGTGTAAAGCCAGCATGTTTCTGCTCTTTACCACTGTGAGAGGTTCTTGCCTGTGGAGTTAAACTGTAGATGGTGCTGCTACTGTGTGTGAATCATACCCAAAACTGATTTGATTTTTACAGCATAAAGCAGAAACAATATGAAACCTCTATATGACATTCAACAAATCAGTTTTCATCATATCAAATTACTCTTAGTGCCAGAAAACAATAATCAGGTGTCTACTTTCATTTTCCTGCTTTTCATCTCTTTACATTACCAGTTTGTGCACAGTGGGAAGATTAGTTTCCTCCTATGAGATGACAAGTGACACTGTGCAGAAATTGCTTTACAGCTTAATAACATGAAAAAATGCTTCCTGTATTTGTCAGACACTTGCAGTTAGTGTCATGCAGCCTGACACAGCAACGGGCAAATTATTGCAAATGCCTCAGCTGCTCCTAAACATGTCATTATTGAATGTTACGTGAAAAGTCACAGATGCAGGCTGCTGTTGCTCCATCGTGGTGTACTGCTGTACAACTGGTAAAACACAGGTAACATCTCTGACTGCCTGCCTTTGCAACATGTAATTTACAGTTAATTACATATTATATATCAACAAAGAAGCAAATGTGATTCTAAATTCTCTATAATTCCAAGCTTAAAATACAAATGGATAAACTGTAGTTTTCCATCCATAGGTCATAGTATCCATAAACTGCTGACCAGAAACTAAGATGTTTCCACTGTTGTAGGCAGAACTCTGGATCAGAATCGGCAATCAGACCAGCAGCATATGCTGTGACACTCGAGACCAGACATAATAATGGGCAAACCTCAGCCTAAATTTGAGCAACATGACATAAATATTCCTTTTCACATGCTCACCATAACAGAATTGAAAAAAATATATTAATAGATCAGTGTCTGGACACATGTAAGTGGCAAACACAAAACAAATCAAAAGGAAACAAAGCTGTGACGTTAATGCTTATTTAAATCTTCTCAGTACACGATGAGAATGTCACACGTGCCTTCCTACACTATGTGCTCACCAATGCTATTATGCAAATCAAATCAGAAAGAAAGGAATCTGTGTCCATGCGTGTGTGTGTGTGCTTGCTGAGCTTCTCCCTGAGAGGAAGCAGAAGCTTTCAGTCTCCACAGGTGAGGCGCTGATCCGCAAGCGTGACTTTTTTTTTCTACCAGACTTTGTGTGTGTACGTGTGTGTCGGAAGTGTAGCGTTCACAGTCGCAGCAGGTGAGCTGTTGATCTGAGTTCTCTGAGTTTTCCTCAACCATCTGTGGCCTACACACGCAAAAATATGCACGCCCACACACGCTCTGATCATATGACTGCAACTACCTGTTTCTTCACAGGGTACCAAACAATAATTTGCCAGCACTATGGTTACAAAAAAAAAGTGTGATTCGAATGTATGGATGTGAGTGTATGTGAGTTTATGCATATGCGTTGGTTGGCTGCTCTCCTGTAGTCCAAGCCAAAAAGTACGTCTCACACGCAGGCGGTCCAGAACATTCTGGTTTCCTGCCAGAGTACTGACGTAGCGCTCTAGCTCCCCTTCCTTTTCCCTGCTCTCCTCTTTGCTTTCTTTCCTTATTCTTGATAGAAAGCTGAGGAGTTGTTCACAGTTACTCTCACATTTCTGCTGTTCAAACTGAAATTCTCTAACTGCGTATGGGCACAATTTGTCGCCCACATTAGGCCCTACAGCTCAAGCATCATTTAACACCACCAAACCCTGCTGCTACCAGGTGCATCCCTTCACATATGAGGTTTGACCAAAAACAATAGCAAACTTTACAATTGAGGTCCATATGGGGCATTTTAAACACTGCACAGAGAATAAACTAAAAGGAAAAAAAACCCCAATAACTTAAAAATAACAAGGTCATGTCTTGATTTTTTTTTATTTCTATTGTCATATGTAACAAAAAAATGCATTTTTGCATACAGTGTTTGTCAGGGAGACAAAAGGTTAACTCACTTAAAACAATGTGGTTTGTAGTGTTTTGATTTTTAAGTTCATATATGTAGATCAGTTCCAAAGAGCCCAAAAACAATCATAATCCAGGAAGCACTACATTTCTTATTTACCTTCTATGTGAACTGAGGAGATGAAGATGGGAATCCTTGATTATGTCACATGCAGCAGTTCTGTGATGCTCAATACGTTGCACATAACAATTACTTTGTAACTACATAAGAAAAGAGCAAAAGGCTGGATTTCTTTCCGCAATGTGGTGCCACTGTGTCTGATTATTACTATTATTATTAAATTTCAGTGAGTCATTTCAGTAAATTATCTCTCTGATATCCTCGTTATCCCTGTTGTCTGACAATAATTGTGGAAGTGATAAGATGTAATGTCATCTCAATCACGTACTACAGATGGATGACACTCCCGGATAATCATGAAATAGAGTGTACACTTGGTGCCAGCAGAAAGGGAGAACTGTAAGCAATATCCTCTGATAAACCATAAAATAAAATGATATGTTCAGTCGTATGACAATTATTCCCTCTGAGTTATAGACTACAGATCATCCACCCTTGAACAGAGTAAAGTGTTTGAACGGTTCTAAAGAACTGTGATGAGAATGAAGCACACACATATGCACTGCAGGGGAGGGATTTATGTGAATTATTAAAGTTGCCAATTAGACCAGCTGACATTTAGATCAAAAACACCATGACACCAGCTTTTAGCAAGTCCATTCTCTCTCTCTCTCTCTCTCTCTCTCTCTCTCTCCCTCTTTCTCACACACATGCACATATTCACAGCCAACCTTGCAAAGGGCACCAAAGTTAGCACTGCTCTCTAATAAACGAATTACCACAGAAAAAGGTCAAACCAAGTGGCCAAAGAACAGTGAATGATAGTGTATGAATGGTCACTTATATTTCATACTTGACATTTCACATATATGTCAAAGGAAAGGCTCTTCTTTCTTATTTTGCCAATAGACTGTAGTGTGTAGCTGAGGAAAGGCAAAAAATTCCATTTGACTTGTTTTTTCTTAATATTTTATTTTCAACTTTTGCCAGAAAAAAGGAATTTTCCAAAACCAGAGACCTTCCTGCGCCGTTAAATCTAAGTAATTATCAAATGGTATGGTAAACCCAAAGCGTCCTTCTGTTTCCAATTTTGACAGGTGTCTAGCAGTATTTTAGTTCCATATTTAGTATACAGACATCACTATGGTACATTTTCATTTACATTTTGTTGTAATAAAGCAATAGATGTATAGTAGATTAAACTTTAACTCTGAAAAGAGGGTTTTTTATTTGAATACTGACATCTGTTACACAGGCTTTTTAAATTAAAAAAGCACTTACCGTGGTGGGGAGTCAGGATACACACTGTTTATCTGAGACTCTCTGTATGAGTCAAAGTCTAAACCAGGAGGAAAGTCTTCCAAGCAGCTAGACCTCAGTTCACCTGCTGAACCTCCATAAGAAAAACTGTCTTGTCCTGTGGAGACACAAAAATCAACTTCATGCTGTGCTAGAATCAGACTTTTGTCATCTGGGGACATTCAGTTACTTCAGCGTGATGAACTAAGGTTTATTTGAACCTATTATGTGGTGCTCTTCTACATGGCATCTCATCTCATACTCCAGCTGTGCTTTACAGATCAGCACCGCACCACTGTATTTAGAGCCAACTTTTGCATATTTCAGTCTGGTATCATGTCCTGATCCTCACCGTAATTAACCCCAAACCTAACCAACCAATTTACGTCAATTTAAGCTCGTAGCATGACACTCAAAAAGATTTAAATGTATAGTCATACCTGAAGTCGTGGACATTGTATCAAGTTGCATATTAACTTAATGTCTTACGATGCTGTATTTACATTCCAATGGGAGTCTGAAAAGCTACCAAAAAAGGAAGTTCTAGAATATGTCAAGGTGTGTCACAGACTGACCATAGCTTGCTCGAAGGTGAGGGTTTCGGAGTCGACTGTCTTTGCGCAAGCTGCCGACAATGATGGTGATGCATGAGAGGAAGAGGACTAGACCTATAACGATCCCCGCCACCACCAGCGGAGACACCAGGAGAGATGCCTCCCCTCCTGACTCCCTCTCACTCCGGCAGTCTGGGTACTCCCCATGGCTCTGGTTGGAGCTCACTGTAGGGAAACAGAGAGAGATGGAGATCAGGGTGGAGTGTGTATTTGTGTGATTCAGTGTGTTTAACTACTTTAAAAAATAACTGAGGTTCGAGGGAGTGCACCCTTAAAGTTAAATATTAAACTGTTTGCAAAAAGTCAACAAAAAAAATGAAAAAATGAAAAAAAAAACAATAAAACTTGATAGTCAACACTAAAGAAAATGTAAAAAGCGAATTTCCAAGAATTATGAAATGTGGGCTTAATAGTTTTCCATTTCTGTTTTATTAATAAATACTCATAGACATACAGCAAATGGTACAATTTCCCCACATCTACAAAGACAGTCTTCTAGTGCTATCTGTCCATCTGTACATTAAACATGTATCCAACTTGGTGTTGTGAAGCTGGAGTTGTGCAGCCAGTATAACCCAATGACACATTTCTCAAAATCAGTCATCACAAGCTGCACTGCTGAAACACTTTCAGCTGTCATCTCTTGCACTATCCGCCTCCTGAACCGTCAGAAATGGCATCCATCTCTTTTGTGAATCAGTGAATCAATTCAGGGTCAAAGGGACTGGAGCTAATCCCAAATGTCGTGGGGTGAAAAGCAGGGTACACCTTAAACGTGTCACTAGAACATTACAAGGCTAACACTGAAAAAGACATCTACGTATTTATGGCACAGAATCGCCAAGAATCACCAATTAATCCAACATTCATGTCTTTCCATTGTGGGTAGAACCCATAGTTTCCAGATGAAACCATTGTCCTGTACCTATAGGTGTAATGAGCTGCAGCGCAGCTGGATGTTACAGTCATGTCAAACATCCCATGGCTTGTAGAACCACCTTAAGCAGCAATCATTTTCCCTATGACTTTATCAGTTTCTCACGTCGCTGTGGAATGAGATATCTGGTTTTATGACCACAACAGTATGCCAGGGGGTCATGTTATGCAACTGTTGTCTTGCCCTGTACACATAGTACTGCCTCCTCATTCTTTCTCCTTCCCTTCGTCTTCCCCCCTCTTTTCCAGCTCTCTCTCCCCGAGGACTTATTCCATTTCAGTGTGTGACAGATAATTAGACCTAGAGTCTAGGCACACAGTCCCTCTCTCTCTCAGTCATCATCATCATTAGATTACAGACCGATCCTGTTCCTCTCCATTTCTGTTTAATGTCTCATCTGTCTGTTTGTTCTGCTTCTCCAGCATCAGCCTGTTTCTCTGTCTGCCTTCTTATCTGTCTTCCTGCCAATCACTTGGAATCAGTCTGTCTACATTCACAATGCAGGTGAAAGAGAAGACTTCTTTATTCTTTTCCTTTATTTTTCTGTTGCAGTTGTTTTGTTCACTCTGCACCAAAAGTGTTCCAATATTGTCAAGCTATTTATTTTGTTGTGGATAATTAATGCCATTTAGATTTATTATTTATGTATCACTGTGTAGTTTAGATGTTATTTCTCCATATTATCGGAGGATGAGCTCATTGATGCTTCTATTAAAGGACCATTGTGCAATTCTATAGCTCACCCACTGTGTGTACTATACCAGTTCCTCAAAATAAAGTATGTATTCTCTGATTTGACCTTAATTATCTTCTTAAATGATGCAATGCTGTTTTTATGTATTGTTAAACATGCTGTAAATGTACTGTATTTATTTATTTAACTGTAGCAACACAGTGGAGATGAATATTTATAGAATCAAAACCTTAAAATTCAATTTACTTTTCATGACTAAATTCATGCTAACACATTCATCATGTTTCTTTTTGTTTCTTTTTGCCTTTAAAAAGGCAGTGATTTAAACAGAAACTGTATTTAATCCATATATTGAAGTTAAATATCAATAGAAAAAAATGGTCCCATGATCCAGTCACGTTTTGTCTAGTTTTTTGTTTTGTTTTGTTTTTTGTGTTGCTGATGATAATGGTTTTAAATAAAAGCAGTCATCCTAATAATCAGTTTCACAGTTTAACAGGCAGGGTAGAAATCCCTGCCTGTAGAAATCCGTGGGATAGAGGCAATTCGAACTGGGCAAGTCCCTTCACCCATCTGCTCCATTTGAGCTCTGCACTGCCTCCTGGGTACGACTCATCGGATCAGAGACTGGACTATTTAAACAGACGGCCGATCCAAACTTCCTGTATTGGGGTGTTGGTTCCACAGATCGACACAATATAACAAAAGTTAGAAAATAATGATGATAAATGAATGAAAGTGCCTATCAATTATTTATTCACATAACATGCACATACAAGAGACAATGTGGATACTGTGCCCAGTAAATGACTTCCTTAAAATTGTTTGTCTGCTTGCCAATCAATTCCACTTGAACTTGCGGTACAATCAGCTGATTTCAGGAAAATAGTGACGCAGTCTACAGCACGGCTATGGACATCGCTTTTACTTTTTTTTTGCACAAAAGGACAAGAGCATGATGGTAAAGTGCAAACTGTGTCCAAGACAGAACTTTGAAACACACAGACAGCATCCTAACACTAAGCTAGCCAAAACCAGAGTGATGTTAAAGCTGAGTGAACCGATCTTGAACTTCAACAGGTAACAAAAGCAGTGATGAAGAGTCAGGCTACAGCCTCCATTTATACCTGTTCATGTTTCTCAGGAACCCAATGGGAATCAGTAAGAGCACTGATAAGGAGTCAAGTCGATAAGTGATGCTGACAATGGAAATGGAATTGCTAAATTCTTAATTTCAATTAATGCTTGATTTCCATCCTTTGTGCACATATCAATCACAAATTCCTTCTGGAGTTCAATGAGGGACTAAAATATTATTATTATTAACTTAGGTTTGTGTCTTGCTTGCATGTGCATTTGTGTATTTTAAAACATGTTTAAAACAATTTAACTATTATCTGGACTCAGTATTCAACAAATACTGAGGTTATGGAGGTGCATTTGCATGCAATCCTCCTTCAAGCCCACAACTCAAAGGCTGTGTGTGTTGTGCTAAATGAAACAAAGATGAAGGAAGAAAGGATGGAAATCTTGGTTTATATTTATCCACAGCAGAGGCAAAGCTAAAAAACAAACACTAACACAAATCAGAACTACAGCAGCCCACGTTACCAGTTGCCAAATATTTTTGGCAATGCAGCCAAGTAGCCATGGAGAGATACAACATATAGAACTGCGCATTTAAAGCTTTGCATAGCATTTACACCAAAACAACACAGGAATATTTTGGAGTCACTAGAACTGGAGTCTGGAGACACAGATGGAGACATCCATCTGATGTTTCCTTGCTGTTTCCTTTTAAAAAAATATTTCTGTCTTTAGCTGCAATGAATGTGAAGCAGGAGGAACAATCAAAGTCTCTAAATGATTTACAATCACAATATTATTTTCATTTCAGTCTCTGGGCTTCTCCATTGCTTTTTTCTTTTCTCTTTCTCCCTTGTATGTCTACGTCTATAATTCTGTTGTCAACAGTAATTTGGTTTAACACATTTCCCCGAGAACAGGAAAATGTTCTCTCACCCCAAATGATTCTCAGCGGACCTCTTTACTCTCTTGGTTATGTTTCCTCTCTCTCACACTTCTTTGTCTCCTCTTTCTCTCTCCCCTAACATGATTTTCTCTTCAATTCTCTTCTCATCTCTTCCTCATAAACTCCATTTTCTCTCATTCTCTCTAGAGAGAACTCACAAGGAAATCTATAATTGTATAGATTTAAATTTGCATAACCCTTGCTTTCTTCCTTCCACACATATGCACATAAACATCTACCTTTGTGAGGAGATTCACTGACATAGCCATCACAGCTGAACACCTAACCCTAGTCCTAACCTATAAAACACACTGCACAAAAACACTGCCTTAAGGGGACACTAAATCACAACAAAACAAAAACAAAAAAGTCAGTTAAACTTCAGGAATATCAGTCTCTGCAGTTAGGAACCATAAACAACTGTGAATCCAGTTCACCTGCTTTGACGTATATGAAAGTGACAACGGGTGCACTGGAAAGGCAACAACAAGCCAATACACCCCACAGGGAATAGTTTTGCAGGTGGTACATCTAGGTCCATTCAAGTTGCACAGGCAGTCTAGCTCATGGCACATCAGTAGGTGCTGTCACAAGAAAATTCATCTCCCAGCACAGTGTCAAGAATGTGGAGGAGATACCAACAGACAGCCCTTTATACAAGCAGAACTGGGCAGGGCCATAATAGGACATCAATCAAGCAGCAAGACCAGCAATTGCTCCTTTTAAGGAACATGAACAATGCTTACACAATGATCTCTGGCAATCTATTCATGTGCATGTTTCTGACCAAGCTATCAGGAACACACTCCATGATGGTGGTGGTAGACCCCAGGATACCTTAGTGGGACCTGTGCTCGCAACCCAGCGTCATGCAACTGGCATTCACCAAAGAACACCAGAAATGTCCACTGACGCGCCGTTCTCCTCACTTAGATTGCAAACATCCTAAATTTTGCAACTGTGTCTCTAGAATCTTTCAAACCTGTCACACGTGAACCTTCTCATGTTTGATTCTGACAGGTTGGTCAGAAACATGGACATGAGCCAGTACTCTGCTGAACGTTATTTTGTAGAGCCCTGGCAGTGCTCCTCCTGTCCCTCCTTACACAAAGGAACAGATACCTGTACTGCAAAGGTTGATGCCCTTCAGTGGTCCTGTCCAGTGCTCCTTGTGTGTCTTGATATCGCCTTCATGCTCGAGACTATGCTGGAGGACATGGCAGATCTTCAGCATGTAAGAATTTGTCATCCTGTTTGAGCTGGACTAACTATTGGTTTAAAACTATTTAGACTATTTACAATGTTATCTTTAATGTCAAATATATAAAATAATATTCTGACACATCTGTTCATTTGCATACTTAAATTTCTAATCTGTTTCCACTCACAGTGGCAATCACTTTTGCTTACACTTCAAGAAAATAAAGTTTTCTTAATGACAAATAAAGTGTGACTGGTGCACATGTGGGACATATTTGTCGGGGGTCTCCTAAACGTCTCCC